TTTTTTGCTTGGAATTTAATCTTTGACTATGTAGATTCATCGAAATGTTACTTTAATCTATGTTGAAACAAAAAATCCTCTGTCATATTAAAGCAGAAGGATCATCCCCTGTACAAGAACACAAAGGTTCATGGGTAGACACTCTCCTGATATAAAGCAGTTCTGTAGAAACTACTGATTTTTATTCATGAAGAATGCCCTGGTAAGCAATCCACATCTGTTTCTTTGGTCAAAAATTTATATTTACACAAAAAGAAAAATATGGAAATAACAAACGCATTGATACATATTGCATTGTGGGTAATCATGAATTGAATTACAAGTAATGTTTTCGTTATTAGCGTTTCACTATCCAGCAATGGCCAGTGTAGTGGCAAGAAAAGTACACATCAGAAACAGGTCATTTTTATACACAGCTGTTGGTGCAGGTACTAATGCTGGGTAAGTATCTATTATCACTATTGTAGAGAACTATCCCTCTTGGACCCTCTTGGCACATTTTTAAGTTCTTGTTTGGACAAAATATGGATTAAGCACTCACCAAAAAATTACGTCATTTTAATTTTCTTTTATATTAAAGTTGCTTTCACAGTAAACAAGCACACAATAAGCTAAAACACAAAACATGCTAAAATGATGTTTTAGCTTAAAATAATATGATGTATTACTATTATATACAGCACTCTCACTTTCCTGCGCATTTCATTTTGAAAGTACTGGAGGGCTTTATTCCCTAGACAAATGTATACCTGGGTATGTGGTAACTGTCCGTCAATGACAAAACAAAGCCTCCTAACTCAGTGTCTATTGTTTACAAATCTCGCTTAATTTTTTTTTCAATTATTTTTGTGGCAGGTGACATTTTTAATTTCCCAATTTTTTTTTTGAAAGTGTATGTGTTCAAACCAGTCTTCCAAATGTATTATTAGAAGACAAGACTATACTCTGATTTATGCTGCTGAGTGAACGGTCGGCTCTGAGAATCAAAAGCAGAACCTCCTTGATGCTAGGTGGACATGCTAACCACTGCTCATTCAAACTAAATTTAAGAGGCCCTCTTAAAATCATATTCGCAGTTGATTTGTCATTGCCCATCCACAATATCATTATTTTATGGTGTATGTATGGATTAGGAGATGGTTCCTCACTGAATTGCAAAGACAGGATGTAACTGTAAGATTATTCAATATAACGAGAAGAAGATATGTTTAACTTTTATTAAATGATGTTGAATACATTGAAAATTGATTTTGATTGACATAACATTCTCTTCAATAAAAAACAAACACATTTCTCTAAAAGGGGTATGTAACAAATATTCTCATTGGCTGATAGCATTAGTCATCAGTGGGTCAGCCTGGAATAAAAATCAACCAGAGCCTATAGTATCTGCTTACACTTTTTTTTTTTCCCCCCACAGGAATCTCATGTCGGGAAGTTTAGGTTCTGTGTTGGTGGAATATGTTGGATGGCGAAGCATGTTTTATTTTTTTGGTGCAATATCTGTAGTTTGGGCCTTGGCTACTAGAATATTACTTCTACGAATGAAGTGTTTCCACCCATGTATAGTTCAGAAGATTCATGCCGATGAAGCTACTAATGTTTCCAAAAAGGCAGCATGGAAAATATTACTTAAGCATAAAGCTTTCTGGTAATTTTGCTTGTTTTTTGTAAATTTTTGGATTTGTTTATTACCGGTACACTAGCTGATTGATCGATCAATCGATCGATCGATCATTTTTTTGTTTGTTTGTGTTTGTTTGTTTGTTTGTTCCTTTTTGATTCTACGGGTAAATAATAAATCAATAACGACTGGACAGTGAGAAATAAAATCGTGAAACCCCGTGGGCAGGCCAACACCAAGTGGCACAGACAATGGGGGAATCGAACCCCCCTGCCCTGTGCCATCGGGATAACAGTCATCCGTTTGACACATTTCTCGGTTCACAATAAAACGATTAAACGATTACAAATGATTAGCGGAGGTTACAAACAGATAAACAAGTGACAAGAGGTGAGTTAGAGACATGTACGACATTGAACGATAAAAATAACAAATGGTTCTACACTCAAATAATTACAATTCTAAAAATACTTAAAAGTACAATAAATCTAATAAAAAGCAATTGAAAAGGCGGGTTTGTACAATTAAAAAGGATATTATTCAGCCATTGTCTAAGATATCGGGGATTATCAGTGAGTTGTCATCCAGGATTGCAATGGCGT